GTCTAGGTAAATTATAATGCATTCAGACAGATAGAGCGTGACATTACTTGTGAGAGACAAACCAGAACACATAAGTTGAAACTTTGAAGAAGTGCTTTTTAAACCTGAGAACAAGAGGCACTTCTTTACCCAAAAGGTTGTGGGAGTATGGAACTAGCTAGCCAGTCATAACGTTGAAGCCAATACACAGGTTTTCTTTCAAGAAATAACTGAATGAGATCCTGGGATCAATCAGCTCCTAGCTAAGAAACGAGCTACATGACAATGTGTCCTAGATAGCAGACATGCCTCATTTTGACTTGGTATTGTGGTGCCGTACCAAGGGGTGGTGTTATTCCCCTATTTGGGCCAGAAAGCAACAGTATTGTTCTATCTCTAATGGAGGCTTCCAGTCTTGAATATTTTAGGCAGAACACAGGCTTAAGAAGATTAGAACAGGTTCTAAGTAAATCGCAGCCACTCGGCTCATGTTTTGGCTACTTGTAGCAAATTCAGCCCAGAATCTTATTGGGCTGTTTCTTGGGGGGTCCAGGGACGTTTTTCACCAATATTGCTGGGCACTTTGCTCCAGAACTCCCACAACCCTGTTTTTCTCCATCATTTCCACTTAAACCTATGTGTGCGAACTCTGGTTCCCCACAGTCATTCCATATTTGGTGCCGTGAAGTCTTGTATTTAATACTAGGGTAAATGAAAGCATGTGGGGTGGGGCTGCACACGTTTGTCTTGGCCAAGAGTGCATATAACCGTACTTGCCTTTAGTGTTGAGGGAGTGTCGTGAGTATGATGGGAGGTCTTTTGGTGTTCCAGCTCTACTTTTACATAATGCTTTTTATGCTGAATTTACTTCCATTTCCCCCGTTAGTGAAAATAAGATGCTACATTTTAGTTGGTATTGTTTGTACAGTGGCGTGGCAAGGGACATGACTTTCTTCAGTTTGTTCGTATTAGCTGCATCCTGACTCAGATCCTTATCTATGTATTGATCCCCCCCTTTTTTACCACCGATGCTCTATCTTAGAGGTGTCAACCTCAGACCATTTGCTTTAACTGCCCTTGTGCTGAATACTTGCCAGTTAACAGCTGCCAATACGCAGCCAAAGATCAGACGGGTTACTTTGGGCTCGTAAAGTGGACTGGAGTGCTTAGACGAGAGATTTAGCACCTTTCACTGACATTAGCCATGTACTGTGCCTTTTTGATGCCTTAATTGGTCGCTTTAACTGACTCAAAGGAGGTGGCACCCCTGTTTCAGAGAGGGACGTAGAGCAGACACTCACAGCATCTATGTTGCAAGAGTGCTGCTGTAAACTGAAGCCGTTTAAGGCTGTTATGTTAAGGCCTGACTTCTCTTTGTTTCTGTGATGCTTACTGTATGTATGATATGTATGAATCATGTTTATATTCAGTCACTTTTAAATATAGCAGCAGACAAAAGCACTGTCATCAAATAAAATATAAGCAATTTGTTCACTTTAAAAACGTATTATTTATCAATCTTTAGATATTTATTTGTGCTATCTTTCTGAAAGTTATTGAGCTCCGATGTCTATTAGCAAGCTGTCTGTCAATTATAATGGATTCGATTAGTGTACCATTACTTGTGAGAGACAAAGCAGAGCTCATAAGCTAAAAACTATGTAGAAGTGCTTTTAAACCTGAGAACAAGAGGCATGCCTTTACCCAGATGGTTGTGGGAGAATGGAACAAGCTACCTAGTCATAAAGTTGAAGATGACACACTGGTTTATTTCAAGAAACCGCTAGAAAGGGTTCTTGGAATCCATTAGCTACCAGCTACCACACAAAACTACACAGGCAGAAAGGCATCCCCTGAGTTTGTGACCTTTTAACTAAAGCTTTATCTGATGTGTTTCTTATAGGGCTTGTTGCCATTACTGCAGAATACTTTAATTATTGACCTTAAAGAGGCCAACATATAGAAGTCAGTTTAAAGGTACAGTAAATATAAAGTGTCAGGTCACCTATTCAGTGTTTCATTTGGTATTAAAATGTAAATGAACGTATAATGTATGTAGGTGACTGCATTGTTTTTCTTGGATATCTGTTGCCCTCTGCTGTTTAAATTATATTTACACCAGTTAGTACTGCAATAGCAAACTTAACCTAATAATAACCAGGAGCTTGGGTGTCAGACATGACTTTGAAATTGCAGGCGTAAATAAGTTCTGGTAGAGGCATCCAAAAATAGCTTCCTCTGTTAAGGTCAATCAAGAAACTGGCTGAGTATATTGTGGTGATGGCCTTAGTTCATCCTAAAATGAATACACACTGAGTCCTCCACATCCCTGTATTTAGATGGCAGTATAACAGCTGAATCTTTGTGTTGAAGAGCTGTCTTGGCTGTGTCTCCTTGATGTTGACAACTCATCAACATTCACTTGTTGTCAAAGTGGGGAAAAGAGACAGACTGGCTTGTGGCTGTGATTCTGGAGACCTGTTGCTACAATTGCATTTTGTTTTACCCACAGAAAGCAAGATGTTTACTACAAGATAATTTTCAGCATGTTTTTTCTTAAATAATGAAGACAAAAAAAAAACCGAGTGTGGGTGTGTTTGTGCCCGTTGCTTGCTGGGATAGGTTCTGGCTCCCCCGAGACCCTGTATAACCTGGGACATTTAGAAAAGGGATGGATAATTCACCCACATGCCCTTGGAATAAACTGATAATTCACGATGAAAGCAAGATCTTTGCAGTGAGAAAGCAGAGTATTATAGGCTTTTATTATAGATTAACTTCATGCCACCTGCTTTTTTAAAGATTAGGATCACGTATGCATTGATGTTACTGATCAAATAAGAGGCATTTAGGTGCAGATCCAGGATCCATGTCTGTTTGACACATTTAACATATTGGCCTTTAAACTTTTTACATTTTCAGCATTTAGTCAAATAACCATGCATCTATTTTCTAACTGCTTCTTCCGGTTTGGGATCCCATAGGAGCTGGAGCCCATCCTGGAAAGCAACACACACACACACACAAGATGCACACTGGACGAGGCACCAGTCCAGCCCGGGGCAGACAGACCCACTCACAGCAGGGACAGTTTTCCCTGAAGCCAAGCAACCTACCAGCATGTCTTTGGACTGTGGGAGGAAACTGGAGCACCCAGAGGAAACCCAGTGATTTAGTAAGTTCTTAACTAATATATTAGTAATTTAATTTATTACCTAAATATTAAATTTATTCAAGAACAATTTATCTTCTTAAATATGTGATGTTTATATAAATGTGACATAACATAGTACAAAGTTATTTATCTACCAATCAGGCTGTGTGCTGGCATTGTAGGTTTGATCTGTGAGGGGTTGGCATTCATCAATGTGATAGTCACAGTACATGAGCACTGGGGTAGCTGTGGAATCTCTGTTCTTGAGCCTTTAGTCATGAAAACGTAATCCTTACAGTAGTGGGCTCCAGCCCTGCTCCTGCAGAGTCCCCATCTAGTGCGTTTTATCAATAATTCTTAAATCACTTCATTTTCTAAAGACTTGGACACATTTAGAAGTGCATCTGTTATGAGGGTGTTTTCAAAAGAGTTTAGAGTAATGTTTTCATAAAAAGTGGAAAAATGTTATTCACATCTAAAGGGGTACCTACTTTGTATGCAACATATGGCCTATAAAGTAAAACATCTATTTCATCAAGCTCCATGATTTTACAATCAATAGCCACTTATGACTCCAAGCAGCTGTGCTATCAAATGTATTTTTGTGTCCTTAATACTGAAGTTTGTTTTTCAGAGCACAACATTGCCACCTGTTGTTAAAAGAAAGCACCACTGCTCTTTCCCAACACTATGCAATGCATCCTAAGCCACATGCATTAAATCCTTTCTTTAATGCACAGCCAGTATACATTTTCATGAGAAGCTTAGCAGAATACAAAACTGTATTTTACACAAAAAGCACAAACTTACATTTACAGGTAGTTTTATCAAGGTTTTTTTTGCTTATGTCCCATACATTTATTTTACAAAGACTTTTTTTTAAAAAACGCGGTTTTCCAGTATTTACCATAAAATACTGCAAATAGCCATCTTCATATAGAAAACAATCTGTATAAAAACATTCCTTTGTCTTCAATTAAGTTTTAGTCCATTAAAGATGTTTTTTTAATATAATTTACACAAGAAACATTGAAAAATCAAGGGAATGAAAAAAACAAAAACCCAAAATATAACCAGTAAATTCATACGCATACAGCCAGAGGAAAATATTTCAATATGGCGCTTGCAAAAATACTCCAAAATGGTTATTGTTGTACCCAAAAGATAGGCCACTTATGAACAGGCAATTAGAGCACTATTTTAGTGATTCTTGAAACTGCAGTTATTTTAACCTGTTCTATTTTTCAGTAACATAGCTTTAACTGCTGGTGGAACTGTGGTCTGTATTGACCTATTCCAGTGGTCTCTAACTCACTTCCTGAAGGGCTTAGTATCTTCTCTCTTTTTATTTTTTGCTTCACACACAATCGCACTTACAAGGTAGGTTTAATTATTGAATTAGCTGCATAACTGTAATACTTGTGAATGTCCTGGGTAGGTTAATTGATTAATTGAGTACTCAGGTCAAAATAAAAACCAGACGAGACAAGACCCTGCCGGAACTCAGCTGGAGACCCCTGGTCTGTGCAGTACAGCTTTCCCAGTAGCTCTTAAGGTTCCTAAAATGACAGAAGGTTTACAACAGCACATCTAAGGACAACACACTGAAGGAACAGCTGTCCAGTTACAGATCACACAAAGAACAAAGAAATGTAAACCTCTTGCTATCCATAGCTGTTCATCCCAATTTTGTTGAAAATACTAGTGGCACTCGAA